GTAAGGTCAGTTCTCTTCTACTCACTTCATCCTGCATTAATTTCATTCTTACTCTAGGTTTTTTACCACTCCAAATAAACTTAGTTATATCTCTTTCCCACTTTTTAAACGGTTAGTCGTTTATAACAATAGGACTATTTTGAAATAAAAAAAGCATCTTCAGGAGTAAACTAATTTTTATTGTTGAAATTTCCCCCATCCATGATAAATTTAATTTCCCCCATCTATTGAGATATCTCTTAATTTCATTCCAAGTTTTATCATAATTATTTTTAAATAAATCCAATTTTTTATGGTAAAGTTTATTCCCAAGTATGTGATCATCTTTTTTTCCCTTCAAATTTGATTTTTTCCAATTAGTTATTTTCTTTCTTTCTTTGTTAAATTCATTAATAGCATTGCAGTTTTGTCTTTATTACGGTAATTTTAAGGGGAAAAAATTAAGAAAATAAATCCAAAAAGCAAACCATGATTTTACTATTTTATATAAGGGACACCATTTTACTACATCATTGAATATAAAGGGACTTGAGCATCTGCAGATTTTGGTATCCAGATAAATACTGCAATGAGCTAAAATTAAGTACCAAAGAACAGAACAGTCAACCAACTTATGGAAAATGAATGCTTTCAGCATTCACTAGAAGACCCAAAACAAGATGTCTGGGATGGGTGGGTTGATCATGGGCAGGGAATTCTGGAGCCTGGGTGCAGCTAATGATAAGGCCCCTTCTTGTGTTATTATACACAACTCTGGGGTGAAACAGACAGGCAAATAAAGTGGTTTTGAGTCACTTTGAAGGGTGGTAGTGGTGTTTATATGATACATGCCTCCAAAGTGGGTGGAAAGCGAAATGAAGCCATACTCTGGGGCTAAAAACGAGAGCAAAAAGAAGCTGGGATACTCTAGCTTAGCCTGAAAAATATGCATCTTCACACCTGCATATTAACAGCTTGCTGCCAGTATGGGGCTGTGGCAAAGCAAAAAAATGAAAGTGCGATAACTCCAATGGATGTAATTACAACATGCACAATCCAGATAGTCCAACAGGGGGGCATGAGGTGAAGGGGGCATGTATAGGGCACCTACATGATTGTGCTTTGCCAATGTATCACTCACGCACCAATACACTGATCCCCTGTATGGCTGGAGCATGGCACATGAGACTGTGTGGCCAAAGAGGCAACCATCCAATAGGATGACATCTTGGCAGGATGTGGGAGGTATCTGGAGGTCACAAGCAGTGTGTTTGTGCCATGGTGTGCATGCATGGTGGGGAAGTGACAAAAAAATGACACAGCAGCGTGGCTTGATGCTGTGCCATGTGGTCTGCCCATGGGTGTTTGGCTACCTTGGGAGTGGATCATGTGGACAGTGGGAGTTCGGCACACTTTCAGAAAAAAAGCAGGATTGAGCCACTTTTCCTGCCCATCTGTTCTGGCCCTCAGATATTAGTGTGAGGCAGAGCCTCTTCCACAGATATTGTTTCATATCAGGGAAGACAATACAGTTGGCCCTCTGCTTTTGTGGGGGATCCGCTCTGGACCCCTCCCCCCCCGAAAATGGAGATTAGCAAATATTCAAGCCCCATAGGCTTAAACGGAGATTGCCCCTCTGTGAATATGTAAAACTGCGGACTTGAAGTCTGCGAGAACAGAGAGATGGCTGTATTTTAGAGCTTCACCAGTATGATTATAAACAATAAGAGTCTACTGGATATACACATTGCCACAAGTAAGCTATACAAACCAGTCTTGTCCGCCTTTGACACACAGTCAACTGTTGGCATTCTTTGTCCTTCCAGGGTTATATATTTGACAGGCTTGCTGTAAATGGTAAAACAATATGATACATTATTGAGAGCTAGAAGTCATGAAATACTGGAAAACAGAGCATTCATAGACACTAAGACTACGATACCCATAGTGCCTGTATTTAGTTAAGTGGCTTGCGTGCACCACTGTACTGCATCATACTTGGGTATCCTGGGACCATACTTTATAGAATGAAAGTGAGGGCAATGATGCTGTTGAACAAAATCTCCTCCAGCTCTGGAGCTGCTCCTACATCACCTCAGATCTATATACTCTCCCAAGTTCACATTGCTATCCTCTGGCTAAACTAGGATATCAGGGAGAAGCATCCTCTACCTGTCTCCACACAGAATTATCACAGAACATAAATATTATGAAAGATTTTCTAATATCTATGTTCCTCTTTGAAAGACAAATTGATATCTGAAGTACTGTGATGCTTGATGAAGGAGAGGAGACACTCTTTCTGAAAACTGGAAGAAGAATCTTAAAAGAAGCAAGTTACTGGGATGGAACTTTTCCTGTTGACTCTCCTGGGAAAACTGCAGCTTCTGAAGCTTCTCCTGGAGGACAAGCATACGAAAACAATACTTTTGTTAGTGGCCATTACACTCAGTTTACAAGTGACTGCCCACTAATGGGAATGCTGAATGCGGTTTGAGGCCTTTGGGGTGATTGTGGGTTGGGTGAGAACTGAACATAAGGTGTAAACCAAGGAAAGCTGTTTAAAAATGGGTGTTTACATTGTTCTAATTTAGAGGAACAGAGTTCACGTTTCTGTACATTTGTTTCCTCTGTTATATGAAGCTTTAGTGTCCAATCTCATTCTTTGTTGAGTTATATGCTGTACAGGGATCAGTGCAAGATCTGAAGGCTGCACAATGAATGGAAGCCTTGCTCTCCCTGGGGCAGTGAACCACTTCACACTGCAGGTGGAGGGCTCCCCATGAGAAAACAAAAACCTTTGACAAACAAACTAGATGTCAGGGGACACTAGATGTCAAGGTTAGATGTGTTATGCATTGATTGTGGTACCAACCCTTGTGTTGAACAGCAGCTTTGTGGGACTGAACCAAGAGGAAAAAATATTTATTTGACTTATAGCCCTACTTTCTTCCAATATAGAACCCAGTATGCAATGAAATGCAGATGCAAATCCATGCACAATGGCACTACATGTGTAATTCCATTTCCACAACCTGGAACTGAATGCAGATGTTCTGCATTGAATGCAGATGTTCTGCATTGGACAAAAATGGCCAACGACATCTGTAGGGGAAAATATGAATGCACAAAACCATAGGATTTCTCTTTTTCCTGAAACATTCATTTTCTACATGCAGATGTTTTGTTTTGTTTTGTTTAGTTTAGAGGAGCATTCCATCCTGTGATCTTTCTTCAGCTGGCTCAAGTTATACAGCCCGGATTTATTATGTCACTGAGAGTTAGAATTTATGCAGCACCTAAGCTGAAAAGGTATCTTTTTTCCTCTGTGTTTTCCTACATCCTTGGTTGCATGGTAGGATGTCAAAAACTGATAATGGATGTACCCTGAGGAAAATTGCTAAGTATTATTCCTGTCACATGTTGTTTCCCTGACAGTGTGATCTGAAAACATTGTGCAGAGTAAGCCCAAGTTCTTTTGCAGTCTGAGATGGAATTGCAATTGCACCCCTGCCTCCCTCCAGTAAAAAGGTTTGGCCAAGTTATTTTGAAACCAGGGGCAGACAATTCCACACATTTCTCTCTTGGGGAGTAAAAATGCAGTAATATGGTTACTGACCTTTCAGGACACACTTGATGGCCTGGTGCAGCCACCTCACTCCGCCTGACAGTATGGCTGGTCCTGATAGGAGACCAGGATCATTCTGTTGGTAATCTCCTGTATAGTCTTGTGCATAACACATCTGACCTCATTCTTTGTGAAATCTCTCAATTTCATTTAATACAGGTACTACATAACCTACTGCATTTGTCATAGCAAAGGTGTCATATTCAAATGTGTTAGAGAACCAAATGTTGGTTCCCTTTGATTCCAACACTAAATCACCGACTGAATAAAACATTTTAAACATTAGATTTCTCTTTCCTCTCTCTATGCAGCTCATAAATACAATTGTCCCCATACTTGTTAGCACATATTTTAAAAACAGGTTTATATATGCATATTTACACAGCCTTTGTTGTGTCTTGGGAATTACAGGAACCATCTTTCCCACACCTAAAATCCTAAGTACAGAAATGAGGATGTAAACACCTCCTCTCCCCTTCCCAGAGTCAGCAGATTTCTCTTTTGAGTATATTGCTTTCTTAGCCCTGAAACAGTTCAATCACTTGTTGGATTCAGGTTGTGTGTGGGATGCCTAAAGGGCATGATATGGTCTCTGGGCTTTATGTATGACAATTCTGATTTAGTGTATTGCTCATGAACAAAAAAGGAGTATATTTAATTTTTTTTTTTAGTTATTCCTGTTAACACAAAATATATATCAACAACTCTTTCCTATTATCTGTTCTCCCTGAGCAACACTTACTCAGACACTGCAACAGATCAGCTCAAAGGGAGTTCTAGCAACATGTGTGAGAAGAAGAGTGACTTCTCATTTGTATGGGTGATGACAACATCTCAAAACCCATGGCAAAAGGATCGACTCTTCAGACTTGTTTTGGGTTTCCTAAAACAAAACATTGGTAGCATAAGCTTTCATAGACTTGAGCCTACTTCCTCAGATTCATGCAGTAGTTCAAGTCTATGAGAGCTCATGCTACCAGCTTCTTTCTTTCAGTTATAATAATAATAATAATAATAATAATAATAATAATAATAATATAAATTTTATTTTTATCCCGCCCCTCTGCTTGGTCTCAAAGGTGCTGCAAGATTCCTTTGCATACTAGTATTTCAGACTAACACAGCTATGTCTTTGAAGACAAAACATTGACAACCCATAGGGCTGAGTTACATTTTACTGAAACTCAAGGAGACAAAACCTTCTCTGCTTTCATTCTGATAGAAGATATGTATGCATGTGTGTCTTTGTTGTTTATGACTTATGGCGACCCTAAGGTGAACCTATCATGGGCTTTTCTTGGCAAAATTTGTTCAGTGAAGGTTTGCCTTTGCCATTGCCTTCCCCTGAGGCTGAGAGCATATGACTTGCCCCAGGTCACCCAATGGCTTTCCATGGCTGAGCTGGAATTTGAACCCTGGCCTTCAGAGTCATAGTGCAACTGCACAAACCACTATGCCATGCTGGCTCCCTAGAAGATAGAAGCTCTAGAGGCACATTATAGAGCTAAGGGGGAGGAATGACAGGATTGGCAGAGATTCTTTGATACCAGAGACAGAGAACCGAAGCCTGTCAAGGTGTAGCATCTTCACCAAATGTTTCTTGTAATTCTAGATATATGAGGGTACTGTATCTTTAGCCATCCTTGAGTGCTGAGGCTAAGCATTCTGCACATGCTTAGAAGTATTTTTTCCTCTGTATAGACAGAAAGAAAACCAACCCATTCGAAATGTGGTGCTGGAGTAGAGGGCTGAGGATACCATGCACAGCCAAGAAGACAAACAAATGGGTTCTTTAGCAGATCTGACCGGAGTTCTGTTTGGAAGGTAAGATGATCAAGTTGAGACTATCGTACTTTGGCCACATCATGAGAAGGCATGGATCACAAGAAAAAACACTAATGCTAGGAAAGGTAGAGAGGAGAAGAAAGAGAGGAAGACCACAGACCAGATGGATAGACTCAATCAGGGGGGTTATGGGCAAGGGCTTGCAGGATCTTGGCAAGGCTGTGGAGGATAGGAACTTTGGAGATGTCTCATCCATAGGGTCGCCATGAGGGCAGATAACAACAACAACTACAATAGATTTGAAAGGTGGAAGGCTACCAGTGAGTGAAAACATGTTCTAGCCAGGACACACATAGCCCCCTATTTGGAAAGAGGATCCCCACGATATGATCATGTGAGCAAGCAACAAAGATTGCCCTTCAAAAACCAAATGGAACCATTCCGCTTCATGAGGAAGGACTCACAATTATGCTTTTGGAGGGGTTGTTTTGGAGGAGAGACCGTTCCAAATGCGAGAAAAGCCTTGAGAAATCATTGGATAGAAAAAGAAAAAGGAAGGAAGAAATTCCTTCTCTCTTCCCCCTGCTTTTTATTCCTGCCCCCGGGGCAATCCCACTCCAGGATCCCTCTGGGCCAAAAGAGAGGAGAAAGCACTTTGATCTGGAGTATGCACTGACCCCCCCCCCAACTTCACCATAAGAAAAGTTTTTAAAAGAGAAAAAAAGTGTGTGTGGGGGGGAGAAGAAGTGTTGCAGGTCATTTTGAGCCACTTTGAGTCCCTATGTTGGGAGAAAGGTGGGATATAACAACAACAACAACATAGAAAAAGGGGATTGTGTTCAGGAAAAAGAAAGCAAAAAGAGAGAGAATTAAGAGGCTAAGGCAGCGAGGGATGGATGGGAGGAGTAAATGAACTAGGTTGCAAATGTAACATGCATAATAATAATAATAATAATAATAATAATAGAAAAAGGGGATTGTGGTCAGAAAAAAGTAGAAAGAAAAAAGAGAATTAAGAGTCAAAGGCGGCAAGGAAGAGATGGAAGGGGGTAAACGAAGCAGCTTGCAAATGCAACATGCAACAGCATTATCATAATAATAACAATATCATATTGCATGTTGCATGTTCCTTATTATTATTTTGTTATTATTTTGCATGTTGCATATTACTACTACTACTACTACTACTACTATAGCAATAGCAAATACATTTCTATATAGCTTTTCAGTGCATTTAAGCACTCCCTCACTGATCTGCCACGCAAGCAAAATCATGCTCAAAATTTTGTAACATGGACTCAAATCATACATGGAGAGAAAAATCCCAGAGGTCCAAGTGGGGTTCAGGAAAGGAAGAGCACGAGGGACCACACTGCAAACATACGATGGCTAATGGAGTGAACCAGGGAATTCCAAAAGAATATCAGCATGTGCTTTATAGACTATAACAAAGCCTTTGACTGCATAGATCATGAAAGCCTCTGGAATGCCCTTAAAGACATGGGAGTGCCAACACATCTGATAGTCCTGATGAGGAATCTGTACTCAGGACAAGAGGCTACTGTCAGAACAGAACAAGGAGAAACAGAATGGTTCCCATTTAGCAAAGGAGTCAGAAAAGGCTGCGTCCTTTCACCCTATCTGTTCAACTTGTATGCAGAACATATTATAAGAAAAGCAGGCTGGGACACAGAAGAAGGAGGACTGAAAATAGGAGGAAGGAATACCAGCAATCTAATATATGCAGATGACACCATAATACTAGCAGAAAACCTCACAGAGTAACTGGAACGCCTATTAAGGAAGATCAAAGAAGAAAGTGCAAAGGCAGGCTTAATGGTGAACATAAAGAAAACATAAATAATAACCACCAAGGACCTTCACATGTTCAACCCAGACAATGAAGAAATAGAACTAGTAAAAGAATTCCCATACCTGGGATCAAACATCGATAGAAATCAATGGGGATTTCCTGCAGTCAGGAAATCAGAAGAAGACTAAGAATGGAGATGGTGGCTATAAAAGAACTAGAAAAGATTCTAACATGCAAAGACATACAACTCAGCACAAAAGTTGGAATCATACTAGCCATTGTATTCCCTATTACCATGTATGGATGTGAGAGCTGAACAGTTATGAAAGATGATAGAAAGAAAATCAGTTCATTTGAGATAATGTAGAGCTGGAGAAGAACGTTGAGGATCCTGTGTGGACAGCCAAAAGGACCAACAAATGTGTCATAGATCAGATCAAGCTGGAAACCTCCCTGGAAGCCAAGAAGACCAAACTGAGGCTGTCACACTTGGGACACATCATGAGAAGGAAGGACTCATTGGAAAAGACATTCATGTTGGGGAAGGTGGAGGGAAGTAGGAAGAGAAGAAGGCCACATGCCAGATGGATGGACTCTATTAAGGAGGTCACGGGTATTAAGGGGTTTCAGGATTTAAGCAGAGCAGTGGAGGACAGAGGGTCTTGGAGATGTCTCATCCATAGGGTTGCCATTAGTCGAGATTGACTTGAGGGCAGTTAACAACAAAGCGATTATTATTTTCCATGTTGCATGTTCTTTATCATTACTGTTGTCAGTATTTTGACATGCTGCATATTTTTATTATTATTAATATTATCATTATTATTATTATAGCAATAGCAAGTACATTTCTATACAGCTTATACAGCTTATCAGTACATTGAAGCACTTCCTAAGCCACTATTATTACTTTGCATGTTGCATATTATTATTATTATGATTTATAGCAGAAATAGCAAGTACATTTCTATACAGCTTATCAGTGCATTTAAGCACTCCCTAAGCCATTATTATTACTTTGCATGTTGCATGTTCCTTATTATTATTATTATTATTATTCCTATAGCAAGAGCAAGTACATTTCCATGCAGCTTATCAGTGCATTCAATCACTCCCTCAGCCATTACTATTATTACTTTGCGTGTTGCATGTTCCTTATTATTATTATTATTATTATTATTATTCCTATAGCAAAAGCAAGCACATTTCCATGCAGTTTATCAGTGCATTGAAACACTCCCTCGGCCATTATTATTATTACTTTGCATGTTTATTATTATTATTATTATTATT